ATATCGGGGTACTCAGATGCATTATGCCAACATCTGGAAAGTTTTCTCTCTCAGAAAAATTACAACGTTGATTACAAATAGTAAGACTTGTATCTCACTCCATTTGTCAGCTCACTTGAGGTATTTATTTTTCTCTTTCTTCTGACTAGACACCACAAGAGGTACCCGCTACAGTATTCAGTACAGATGGCCAAGGGCTGGGACAAGTCTCTAGCGTTGGTGTGGACTCAAACGGAGATCTCTTCGTGTTTCACAGAGCAGACAGACCTTGGACAGCTGAGTGAGAACACGCTTTTTACATACTGTGGAAGAACAATCTATATGGGAGAAGAGAAGGGAAGCCGTAGAATAAATTTTAATATTATTAAAACGAAATACGCCATTTCGGATACTATATGGACGGGGAAAGATGCATACTGATTTTTCTTCATCAGACCTTTAAGGGTCAAATGACTGCAGTGCCACTGCTTTTTTTAAATTGAAAAAGCAATTGTAAATTCTAATCAAAGGCAGCGTGGGGGTAAGGGGAGGGGGATGACTTTTTACAGGGGGGAAGGGGAAAAGTACATTCATATTTCTACCAGATCACATTTTCCTCTTCTCACCTAGCCATGTGGCATTTTCGAAGGTCTTAACATTTTTTTTTGTAATGAGTGGCACTTGTATTCCCAAGGAACTGGGGTTCGCTATAAACTTGCTCACGCAGCCGAACTTAACAGACCTGCTCTTCAACGACTTTTAACTGCTAGTGTTGTATTAAACAGGACCTTAGAATTTGTTTGAGTTGGGTTTTTTCCTGTGATTGGTTTTGGTTTGTTTTATGCAAGGAAACCTCCTCTGAAATCTGAGAAGTACAACCCTGAGAGAGAACAGAGCCAAAGCCATTCCCAACCGGCTTCGCCTTCTTGAGCTTTGGTAGAAAACTAGATACTTTTGAAATTGTCTATACGGCCACCCTTTGTCGCTGACCGAAGTGGATGTCTTACACAAGTGGATGTCTCGAACGATGTCATAATATTTATTAAAACTCGCAAGGAAGAAAATGGGAAGTGGTCGTTTATACAGGTGATTTTCTTGGACAGGTGGCAGTTGGAGCAGGATGGGCTATACTTGGGGACATTCACAAAGGGGCAATCAATCGCCCAACCTTTAGGGTGACCAGATCTCAACAACAAACTTTCAGCTTTCTGGTAACCACTGTACAAAACCGAAACACATGTATTTTGGTATTTGTCTTATTGATACTCAAGTAGTTTACAATCACAGCTACACGATTTTTTCTTTCATTTTCAGGACCTTTGAGGACTTTAAAGACACCCTTTCTGAGAACTTCAAATCGCCTATCCAAAAGGAGACTATCTACAAGCTAAATCCCGTCACCGGAAAGGTCATCACCAAGCTTGGGGCCAACTTGTGAGTGGTTTTGTGTGTTCCTCTTTGTTTTATCATTGTGCTTACGTGTTTCGTTTTTAGTTCTTTTCCAGCAAAATTGTGAGTCATTGACGATACGATGCATGCTCCTTGATACTACTTATGACTATACTGTGTGTGTGTGTGTGTGTGTGTGTGTGTGTGTGTGTGTGTGTGTGTGTGTGTGTGTGTGTGTGGTGTGTAAGTGAGTGTGTATGTGTGAGGTCTTGTGGATGAGAGACGGAGAGAAAGGTCGGGGAAGGGGTAGTGATAGAAAGAATGAATTTCTATCCTTACAGAACTAAAAGGAACCGGAGGTCAAAGTTTGGGAAGTTGAACAAATAACATTTTGTGAAATAAGAGGAGGTAACGCGTTTTACTTCTTCATTCTGGAGATGCGCTTTAAAATGTACCCTAGAATAACAATACTCTCAAGTTTAGTCCATGTTGAAGCGGCTAATAATGGAAATAAAAAGAAAGTAGGAAGAGGAGAGACAGGAGAAAGAATACAAGTAGTATCTGTTTTGTTTTTGTTTTTGTAAAGTGTTTTACGGCGCTCGCAACTGCATAGGTCATATGAGCGCGCGGGACACACCTA